CCTGCATCAGAACAACTGGGGGGGTCCGCTCCCACAGACGGAGGCTGTAGACTCAGGACTCAGGCTGTAGAACGAGGGCCAAGGCAATGCAGTGCAGGACGGAGGCGACACAATGGAAGCAAAGTTCAAGATCAAGGTTATAGTATAGAAAAAGTAAAAATGACTAAAATATATCTTTTGTTTTATTTTGTTTGCAAGTAGGACAATATGATTATTTGCCAAAAGCTTGCATTCAAGATGATGAGAAAACACCTTCAGAGAATTAGACTAAACATGACGTTAGACCTGATATGATTGTTAGACCTGATATGATTGTTAGACCTGATATGATCGTTAGACCTGATATGATTGTTAGACCTAATGGGATCGTTGGACCTGCTCCCAACTACATCTACGTAACCACACATCCAGGTTATAAATCGCAGCTGAGCTTTCATTCCTTGGGGAAAACCTGGGATTGAAGTACAGATGATCAACCTTCCTTTGCCATGAAATAATAGTAATAAAATTAGATTTTAACAGAATATCTGGGGATCTGAACCCAGAAGCTTCACTTGGGATACTGTTAGATCAGAGTCTAATGAAGGGCCCATAGAACCATGAGGAAAAGTAAGTCATGAATAAAACTTTCTTCTGTGCCATTGTCATCAGTGAGAAAGCACACTTCTGCCACTGCCCACAATGTAAAAGTATATTAAATAAGCAGACTGTGCATTTTCCATTGTATTTGATATTATTAAGGTCGAGAAAGGACAGACAACCTTTGCTCCGTCTCAAGTCTCTCTGTAAGTTCAGCTGCAGCTCGACCGCTCGTCCAGGGCAGAAAGGTTGATTATCAGGCTAAATCCCCCTCACATTACCCCTCTTCTCAGACTGGGGGGTAATGAGAAGTTAATTTGACTGCAGCCGATAATGAGAATAAAGCCATGGACTGAAAAATTGTTTTTTTTCTGTTCATCCATCTTTCCCTTTGTCTTTGCTGTCACTTGGAGAACGGGCGTCTGCTTCATCACCCAATATAAAATGGATTCTTCTCAACTTTATGCCAGGAATAAATAAGTTTGCAAGAGACAGGATATAATAGCCTCAGTGTCCAATCCATTCATAAATATGTACATAGACATAGATAATATTAAGTAAGTAAGTAAGTAATCTTAATTTATATACAGCCTTTCACAGACCAGAGTCACAAAGCGGTTTACAATTGTTATTTTTGGGCATTTGTCTCTCACTCCACACATGGGAGCGGGGTTTTTAATACATGCATCAAGAGTTCCGAGCTTCCGACTCAACCGCACGGCATTGTGGGTAGTTTTCTCAAAAAGGTGGGCATCAAATCACGCTGCCATATTGGATTACTTGTTGCGAACGTGATCTCTTGTTTCCAGCCTATAGATTGTTTTAGCATAAGCTACATGTAGCTCTATAGTCAGTCGGTTGTGTTTTAGTGCTTTTTTGTTAAATGAAAAAATCTTTACCTTACCTTCAAAATGTCTGAAATTGGTGAATTTTTAAACTATGGGCTTTGAAACAAGAGAGAGAGATCACGTTCGCAACAAGTAATCCAATACGGCAGAGTGATTTGATGACCACCTTTTTAAGAAAACGCTTAAAAGCTCGGAACTCTTGATGCATGTAAAGCTGTAGCAGCAGTTGAATACTTTTACAGTCCAGCTTCTTGCAAACCTGTCTTGCAATTATCTATTACTGGCATAGATTTGAGAAAAGCCATTCTTAAATCCAATACTTCTACTTTGCCAGTGATAAACACCCACTGTTTTTCTTCATGGACAGATTGTCTTCTCTGAATGTGTACGTATGTGTGGTCTCACTTTTCAGGTCCTGGGTTTGCATCCCGGTCGGAACATGGTCTTTCTGAGTGCAGTCTGCATCGGTTTGAAATCTCAGTGGGACTTTCCTGGATAAATTAAGCTAATTTAGCTCGAAGCAGGAATAAAATGCTGAGTGGTGACTACATCTGTGGTTTGAGTAAAGCAAACGATTACTTTTAATGCAATCACTTTTGTGCTGACATTGTGTAAGAAGGGAAAAGTGATACCGCGGAACCCTTTTGAGCTTAAATTGAATGCGAGGTACTTTTGAAAATGAAGAGAGAGATTGTTTTTCCAGAGAAAGCAGTGGTTAGACCCACCCTTTCTCACCCCACTGCTTTCTAATTGGGCAGAAAGACTTTAAAGCCTTGATACACAGACTATGGCTCTTGCTGTTGGTGCAACCGTCTGCAGAGGACTGGTTATCTCGACGCAAGAAGATATCAACACAACTACTACACAACAATACAAGCGGAAGTCGAGCGGGCTACCACTTTAAAACCAACCTCCAACTCTCTCAGGCTCCTATTGACTTACATGTAGAGAAATCTTAAAGTGATGCCAAGATACACTACATGGTCATATGCTTGTAAATTTGCATTATCTCTTTAGATTAAATACCGTCAAAGTTGCAGACAATATCTTTAATATTGAAATTTCAAAAAAAGCAGGGGAGGGTTATTATTTTCTTTGGGATAATGTCATAGAAGAAGACTTAATTTTAGACAGATTATTACAGTCTTATTATACGGCTCCTCACAGCAGCAGTAGAACGCTCCATTGATTTGAATGTAATTTCAAAACGTTCTACCGGTCATTATTTTCTATAACGGACCTCTCAAAACGATAATGACCGCTGCCCTTTGGCAACGCACTCTCTGCTTGTCTTTCAAATGCGTGGATAACTCCGCAAGTAGTTCCGGCCAGAGAAAAGGCGATCCCGAAAAACCCGGAAGTAGATACCGGCACATTTTAAGATACCGGCACATTTTCGGACACATTTGCAGAGGATCTAATTATGGATTTAGGTTAGGTTTATGTATGGGTCACTCACCGCTGATGTTCAGAATTCTTTGTTCAGTTTTCATGCAGTTCCAGAAAGTTATAGTTTGGAAGTTCCCAGCCTAACTGTTGCTAGCATAGCCACGGGAAAGCCTTTGGGAACTATTTTATTTTCTGTCATTAAATAAACCTTTCGGCATTCCTAAAAGTGGACTGAAGTTTATGTTGTGTGTTCTGTTGGTATAAAGCCGTATAATAAGCGGGATAACGTATATTACGCAGGTCATTATCGGAAAATAAGTACCTTCAGGGCGGAAGCAGACCCCTGCGCTGCGCGTCGGGGTCCGCTTCGCCCTGTCAGTACTTATTTTCCGATAATGACCTGCGTAATAATAATGCCTCCTGTGGACTCACCACCTGCAGAGGGTCAGTGAGGGGCTGGTGCTATGAGACTTGGGTGGCATCTCTGACTGCCACCCCCCTGACCCAGAAATGGATTAAAGGGTAGAAGATGGATGGAGATGGATGGACCTGCGTAATATACGTTATCCCTTACATGTTTATGGACAAATTATAATAATACAAATAATGTGTTTTTAAGTCGGTTTTATACAGGGTTTTTCTAGACACTCAGAAGCGACGCAAACGGTACGTGCCACCACATCCAACCACCACCAATCATTCTCACACAGACTCATTCCAGAAAATATATTTGATATGTCTTTCCTAAGAACACAACAAGTTTGTAGCTGCTCCACTGTGGCACCAGGTGTAACCAGAGGTCTCCCATCACATTAATAACCAGACCCTGCCCTGCTTAGCTTCAGAGTTCTGACATTTTCTGGTTTTCACTTGCAGGTATGGCCACAAAGAAATGTGGATGGAGCCACACATGACCCACAGCCTGCATTAGCCCTGGATCACTTTTTGACACTTTTGGAACTCAAACCTACCTCCTTGGGGCTTCTCTATCACTTGGTTTTGGGCACTTTAAAAAAAAACTAGGGGTTAAATAAGCATAAAAACATTGTGTTATTAGTGCTCCTACATCTAAAAAAAACAACAAAAAAAAAAAAAAGACATTTCTTTTTCCAAGGAGTGAACCGTAAAGGGTTAATTAGTCTCAGATTGAATCGGCTCTCACAATGTAGCTGAGGAGTTTAGACCAGTTTAGACCAGCTTAGAATATCTAATACCTTAGATATGGCCCGATTGTCGGAGGCCAGAGCCAGGTCAGCGATCCGCTCTACACACTGCACGATGCGGGTGCAGGCACGGGCTTCGTTCTGGGCCATCCACAAAACGTGCTCCTCCACCTGCATCATGTTGCTGGCGATGTCCGAAATATAATCCCCGAGCTGAAAAAAAAACCACAATACAGAAAGAAACGCTGTAAATGCACACATACAGCAGAACGTACAGGACGCCCCATGGGATATTTATGCACTGAAGCTCCGGGCGCAAAGCAATTTAATACAGCTCTGTAAAAGTTTGCTCAAGGGTTGGTTTGGATCCACAAAACTAGAATTGAAATAATGCTTTAACTTGTGGGAATAACGAACACACACATTGTATAGGAAATAAAACAAAGACAGTTTAATGACTGTAAAAGCATTGGTTGAAAAGATAGAGGCTGCTGCGATACATTTGTACTCAAAATGTTGTAAATAAAAGTAGCCACAGCTGCCCCAGGGTTGATTTAAAGGATGTGGATTCCAAAGATCCTCCTACACATGAATCACATCTTTCTCTTCCCCTTTATACTTTAGACAGAGGTTGTGTTTTTTACCTGCGTTATCGTCATGTTTCTCTCATTCTTTTAAGTATTTTGATGCACAACCTGATGACTGGCTTTAATAACAAGAACTATATATTTACCCAATACAACACACAAATTGAAACTATTTAAAATCGCATAACATATATTAAGCAAAACATATAACAAGCAAAAACATGTATTTTTGATTAAACACAAAAGTTGGGTACTGCCGTTTTAAGAAATGCCAATCTTGGTCTTGAACTTGGCTCATCAATGTGTTATTTTTGGTTTTGCAAAATACTTCACCACCACCTTAGATCATATAAAATTTGGAAGCACAGAAGAAGGTTGTTTAATGTATTTCCTCAATTGATTAAGTGACCTACTTTCAAGTGTGGGCGGAGCTACACATCAGTACAAAATCAAATGAAAAGCGTATCGGGCAAACGGAATCGAAGTATCTCGTTAAAGGTCCTATATAAGGTCCTATACAAAACTAGATAACTTTAAAATTAAAGTCATTTCTTGCAGAGATGTCACCTCTTTGCAAACGACTGGATCTGGGCTCTTTCCCTGAACACACAAAAACACAAATGTCTCCAAGTTTCTCCACAGAAGCGAACATTAACCGTGGTAATGGGTCAATACGCTCAGGCAGGATGTGCGCTCGGATTCGCTGTTTTTATTGGTTTCCCCTTCCTGTCAATCATCTCGTGGAGGCGGGGCTTCTGGAGATTGAGCTAAGTTTGAAAATGTGCGTTTCTGTGCCTCACAAGAATGAAAGAGAATGATTTTCCTCAAACTAAAGCTTGAGGGCATCAATGAAAACCTCTCTGGGAATGTGTTTGAAGCCAAATAGGGACCTTTAAGTTATTACTTCTGTACTCTGGTATTCAGTCTTTTATGGCGATACACCGGTCTAGCCAATAAGTTTTAATTCTATTAATACGATCCTTTGTTTTGAATGGATTTGTACGTGAACAAGATGGCGTTTCTCAAAAGAGACAAGTCCTCGTATGTCTCGTGTCATCGGGGAATAAAACCATTTTCCTCGGTCCTGGACGTAAAGGTCGGACCTTTCAATTAAACTGAGTCATGGCCAAAACTCGTCTAATCCTCCTCATCATTCTGGAGTCGGGACAGAAAAGTTTAGATCGTGCCTTCTCCACAGGACGTCTGTAGAATACTGATGAAAAAACACTGGAGCAAACAGAATAAATCACTGAATTATGCAAAATTTTACTTTTTTGAGTTTGTAACCGTGTATTAACCCTTTATTAGTTCATTTCTGCTAAAGGGGGCTGCAATCAAAGCTGCCACCCAATGCTCACTTCTCAGCAAGAAGGTCCTAGGTTCGAATCCCAGTCAGAACAGGGCCTTTCTGAGTGGAGATTGCATGTTGTCCTCGGGTCTGTGTAGGGTTCCTCCAGGTGCTTCGGTTTTCCCTACCACTAAAAACACAATAGGTCTGAATGTAATGTGTGAGTGAATGGCTGGTGTTTGGTCGGAGGCTTTGATGGACCAGTGCGTTCTGGTCTCGCTGCCATGGAACAATGTCTGAACTCTGCACATTGTAAAGCGTTCTGGGTGACCTTGGTCTGTAAGAATGTGCTATATCAATAAACAATACTTACTTACGAACATGTTTGTAATGGGTATGCACCATTGTGGAACCATCAAAAGATTACATAGACATTACTTTAACATTCAGCATGTATGGACATTTATCAACATACATGGACATTGGTCTCTTCTTATGGTCCAATACCATGTGGTCTCTACCTATGGTCCAATACCATGTGGTCCCTCCCAATGGACCAATACCATGTGGTCTCTCCTATCGACCAACACCATGTGGTCTCTCCCCATGGACCAATACCATGTGGTCTCTCACTATGGACCAATACCATGTGATCTCTCCCTATGGACCAATACCATGTGGTCTTGAAGAAGATGACATAGTCTGGGATCGCGTCTTTCATTCAGACAGAAGACATGTTTTATTGTCGATGGTAGAGACAACACAAACAACACGAACAACAGAATGCAAGTGTATTATACAGAGCGGAGGCATGGATACCACCAATCAGCAGCTGCCACAGTGCCATGTAGCTTGGCTTCTGCACATTGATAGAATGATGAGTTTAACTTTCACAAAAGTTGCTTCAAAGTGTTATGAAATCTCACATTCCCCCCTCTGGTCACACATTCACGTGTGACCATTAGGATCGATAAACAGCAACATAACATCATAACTCAATACTTCATAAACTCATAAACTCTGTACTTCGGACCCCAGAAACAAAGAGAGAGCGTTATTTGTCACCTCCAGGCTCTCTCTCTACAACCCTCAAATCAGGTCAGAAATCTAGGAGTGATAATGGACTCAGACTTAAATTTCAAAAGCCACATAAAATCTGTAACATCAGCAGCTTATTACCACCTAAAAAACATTGCTAAAATTAAAAACATAGTGTCTAAGGCAGACTTGGAGACTCTTATACACGCTTTTGTCTCCAGTCGGTTAGACTATTGCAATGGCCTGCTCACAGGTCTGTCCAAACAGGCTGTAAAACAGCTGCAGTACATTCAACATGCAGCAGCTCGAGTCCTGACCAGAACTAGGAAGTGCGACCACATTAGTCCAGTTCTCAGGTCTCTGCACTGGCTTCCTGTTCCTCAGAGAATAGACTTCAAAGCAGCTTTACTTGTGTACAAGTCTCTCCATGGTCTCGCGCCAAGGTACATCCATGACATGTTTGTGCCATATGAACCGACCCGGACTCTGAGGAGCACAGGGACTGGACTCCTGTTAGTGCCCAGAGTCGGTACTAGACATGGGCAAACTGCATTTCAGATTCATGCGGCTAGAGTCTGGAACCGTCTTCCTGAGAATGTGAGACAGGCGTCTACTCTGGCATCTTTTAAATCTAGGCTCAAAACAATTCTGTTTAGCTGCGCATATACAACTGAATGATTTTATCTTTTCATCTTTGTTTTTATCTTTTTCTTTTTAATGCACTGTGACTATTTATGATTTTAGTCCCATCTGTGATTTTAATGTTTAAAGGTTTTTAATTTTTGTGATTTTATTTTTAATGTTTTTAATATATCTTGTGCTCTTAATGTGTTTGATTTATGCATGATGTGATAGGGGATGTGAAGCGCTTTGCGTTGCCTTGTGTAGGAAAGGCGCTCTACAAATAAACGTTGATTGATTGATTGATTGATTCACTCGGTACTTCAAAAACTCAGAACTCGGAATACTTCAAAAACTCAGAAAACTCATAAAACATTTTCAGATCTTTCATAAAACTTGTCAACAATCTTCAGTAAAATACCAAACTTCATCAGTCGATGGTTCTCAGATATTGCTTTGAAAACAGTCTCTCCCACTTCTCCGTGTTGGTTTCTTCAGGCTGCATTTGTGTCGAGCCATGAATTCTTCTGTGACGTGTCTTTCAATCACACGTTTCAGCTTTAGTGTCCAGATTTAGCAATTCAATTCAGTCCAAATTATGTCCAAATTCAGAAATCCAATTGTTCCAAATTATGTCCATGCAAAAGAGGACGATGGTATTGTCCATGTCTCAGCAGCTCACAGCCTGACTGGAATCAGGGGCTGTGGAGATTGTCCATGTGTGCTGGTCCAGATGCATGGTTTCTCTTGAGGTTTCTCAGTTTTGGCAACAAAAAAAAAAACACATTTTTGTGTAAAAAAAAAGAAAGTCTTCTGTTCTGTAGATGTTACAGACAATGCCCACATTCTCCACCACCTGAAGAAGATGACATAGTCTGGGGTCGTGTCTTAAATTCAGACAGAAGACATGTTTTATTGTCGATGGTAGAGACGGCACGAACAACACGAACACAGAATGCAAGTGTATTATACAGAGCGGAGGCATGGAGACCTCCAATCAGCAGCTGCCACAGTGCCATGTAGCTTGGCCTTCAGATAGACACAACAAGGGAAAAGTACTGGCTTCTGCACATTGATAGAATGATGAGTTTAACTTTAACAAAGGTTGCTTAAAAGTGTTATGAAATCTCACAGTCTCTCCCTATGGCCCAATACCGTGTGATATCTCCCTTTGGTCCAATACCATGTGGTCTCTCCCTATAGACCAACACCATGTGGTCTCTCCCTATGGACCAACACCATGTGGTCTCTCCCTATAGACCAACACCATGTGGTCTCTCCCTATGGACCAACACCATGTGGTCTCTCCCTATAGACCAACACCATGTGGTCTCTCCCTGTGGACCAACACCATGTGGTCCCTCCCTATCGTCCAATACCATGTGGTCTCCCTCTATGGACCGACATCATGTGGTCTCTCCCTATCGTCCAATACCATGTGGTCTCTCCCCCATGGACCAATACCATGTGGTCTCTCCCTATCGACCAACACCATGTGGTCTCTCCCCATGGACCAATACCATGTGGTCTCTCACTATGGACCAATACCATGTGATCTCTCCCTATGGACCAATACCATGTGGTCTCTCCCTATGGCCCAATACCATGTGATATCTCCCTTTGGTCCAATACCATGTGGTCTCTCCCTATGGCCCAACACCATGTGGTCTCTCCCTATGGACCAACACCATGTGGTCTCTCCCTAAGGCCCAACACCATGTGGTCTCTCCCTATGGACCAACACCATGTGGTCTCTCCCTATCGTCCAATACCATGTGGTCTCTCTCTATGGACCGACACCATGTGGTCTCTCCCTATCGTCCAATACCATGTGGTCTCTCTCTATGGTCCAATACCATATGCTCTATATTTTTTGTGTCTTAACTGTTTCTCTGATCTGTGTCGGTGATTTCAATGGTGATTTCAATGGTTTTGTGACATCTCTATTTCCAACTTCAGGCTTTACATTGAAGTCATGAAAAGTCCTCCTTTGCTCAACTCTTGTACATGAAAACAGAGAACACCTCCTCCTTCTTCTCTTTCAAATCAATCCTGGGAAAAACAACAGTTAAATTCATAATGTGCTCGGGACAGCCCGGGAGGCGCTGGTGACTTCATTCATTACTGAGAGATTTAATTTAGATTACTAGCTCCGCCGGGGCCCAATCACTTCCTGGGACGGCACTCTTCTATTTACTTACTGTACTTCCCCATTGTCGAACGATTTGACTATTCCTGAATGGACGAGCGGGGTGGGCTCATCGGTATTGTCTGGACTGGGGCAGTGATAAAACTTTAGGCGTCGTCCGTGTAATATCTCCTCCCGCGTGCCCCGTTGTGAGTAATTGGACTTGTGGGAGCCTGGTATTGATTTCTTTTTGGTTGGCTAAGCTCGGCATCCTTCTCCGGGCACGACCTGACCTTCAGTTTATTGTTGTAGCCGCCAGAAAAATAGTTTACTTGGGGTTAGCGGCTGTAGACTCCCCTTGCCGTCAGGGGTCCTGGGTTTGACATGACACAGGGTTTTGGCTCAGAAAATAAGTGAATATTTTAAAGTGTAGACGCTGCTGATACCAGGGATCAACTGTGAATGCAGAATATTTCTCTGTGCAGTGGACACAAATACAACAACGAGAATTTTGAAATTTGGGTAAAACATACATTCCAAACTCCAAATCATAGACCGTAAATATTAACAGACGTAGTCACACCTATCCTCGGTGTTGAAACTACACTTTTGCCTTCTGAGGTTTTTGAAAAATGGCCGTGGGGCAGAAAAATGTGAAAAAACGCATTTGCGCATGTGTTAGCTGCACTAGTCCTGTTCATTCATAAAGTGCATTCAAAAGTCAACAGCGGCTAAACTAGACTGGTCCAAAAGCATATACTCCCCTCAACATTGACATTATCTGGAAACAAGAGGACCAAGAGCCACTTTTGGACCAAGAGCCACTTTTGGACCAAGAGCCACTTTTGGACCAAGAACCACTTTTGGACCAAGAACCACTTTTGGACCAAGAACCACTTTTGGACCAAGAACCACTTTTGGACCAAGAACCACTTTTGGACCAAGAACCACTTTTGGACCAAGAACCACTTTTGGACCAAGAGCCACTTTTGGACCAAGAACCACTGTTGGATCAAGAGCCACTTTTGGATCAAGAGCCACTTTTGGACCAAGAGCCACTTTTGGACCAAGAACCACTTTTGGACCAAGAACCACTTTTGGACCAAGAGCCACATTTGGACCAAGAACCACTTTTGGACCAAGAACCACTTTTGGACCAAGAACCACTTTTGGACCAAGAACCACTTTTGGACCAAGAACCACTTTTGGACCATCCTGTGAAGACGTTTTCCAGAAGAAAGAAGACGCCATACAAAATCATTGGGCAATTCTCTTTCCGGGTACACCCCCACCACCAAGGAGTGAGATTGCAGCAAGGCTAACGCATGTATTCGTGGATCATTTGGAGCTTGGACCCGCCCACACTGGTCCAGACCAAAGAAAGTACAAAAGCAGGAAACAGAATGTCCAACTTTTCTCTTTTTGCTTCGACCAAGATGGCGTTCTAGCAATAATGAAAAGAAGCGGGACGTAAGCATGGTGGTCCTTCATATTTTGAGATTTTGTATACAGGTATGGACAATGCTAACCTGCCAGGTGTGTAATAGAAAAGTGCTCATAGACGAGGTTTTGGCTCTATTCACATACAATAAAAAGTAAAGTTGATCGAGTAGGGTTCATAATGTGCTCCCTTTCAAGCATCAGTGTCTAAGTTATTGTACGACTTCCTTTTTGTTTTGTTTTCAGGTCTTTGAAAACCCTTTGCTGGAAATAAATGAACAAAAATCTCCTCTTACTCAGCAACCGCTTCACCATTTTGGGATCACAAGGAGTTTATATAGTTTGTATCGTTTTATAGTTAATTGGGCGACAGTAGCTCAGTTGGTAGAGCATTGGCCTTTAAGCCTGAAGGTCGTGGGTTCAATTCCCACCTTGACACCTTCTTCACCGACTCCCACTGATGTCTGCTGTCGTTGTGTCCTTGGGCAAGACACTTAACCCCACTTTGCCCAAAACCCCCGCTGAGAGATCATGGCTATGCTCACATTGACAGAGCAGCCATCCTCCTGTGTGGGGGGGCTGGTGCTATGAGACTTGGGTGGCATCTCTGATTGCCACCCCCCTGACCCAGAAATGGATTAAGGGGAAGAAGATGGATGGATGGATGGGTGGCACGGTGGCTGAGTGGAAAGCACTCTCGCTTCTCAGCAAGAAGGGTCTGGGTTCAAATCCCAGTCGGAAAAGGGCCTTTATGAGTGGAGTTTGCATGTTCTCCCCGTGTACAATAGGTCTGGCATGCGCCTCCTGTACTGACGACCTCGCTCCCATCTCTGTGTGGAGTGAGAGGACATATTAGCGGAACTCGGCTATTTCTGGGCCTTGTCTGGTCCTCCCGAGCTCCCATGATGCGTTGCGCCAAATACGCGTGTGTGGCTCTTGTGCACGTGCACAGAGGGTCTCTGCCGCGCTTTGACCAATCAGAGCTGCTTATCAGAGCGGAGTCATAGCAGGAAGGAAACGAGCAAGGATTTAAGATGGAAAAAACTTCAGGATGACAAGGAACACTAAGATACCCTCACAATCCAATCTTTATTTAAGCTGTAGGTTCTCTGTCAGGTTCTCTGTCAGGTTCTCTGTCAGCTGAGGTCAAGCTGTTTTAGTTTACATTGAGATCTATGAGGAAAATTTCTGGGTAGCCCGCCTGAATTTAGTCTGCAGTACCACAGTGCCCTCTGTGCCCATGGGTGGGACAGCTATAAGCTAGTAATACTCTATCCAGCTATTATTATAGATCCATGGGACAAATGCTCACAACTGTAAAACGCTTTGTGACTCTGGTCTGTGAAAGGTGTAATATATATATAAAAAAAAAAAAGATTACTTACTTACTATATTTTTATCAAACATATTAACATCCTCACCTGTCTTTGCGAGTTACAGAAGCAGCAACAGGCAAATTCTGTCCTTTAACTCATTATTGAATCCAGTCTCAGGTGGATTTTGATTTGATTTCATTCTAATTATCACACATTAGGCTTGTTCTGAGCGTATCTGCGGTTCCACGGTGTTTACTTCCTGCTTGTGTTAGCCTACTGAAGGCCTTCTCTTCTGTTTGTTCTCTCTTGATTGATTGAAGTGCCTTCTCCATACACAGACATATCGGCTGCTTTTGTCCACACCATCTGAATGAGGTGGCTAGTGTCGGTGGGTTATTTGGGGTAATGCAGTTAGGTAATAGCTTTGTGATGCATCATTTGTGACTGAAACGATTTTTTTCAGTGGTTTATTGAGCGTGAAGCTAAAAACAACTCCGCGCTTGTTTTTGATGATGGGCAGTATTTAAAACACAGTTAACAATGTCTCCTTCAAAGAATCACAACCAGACTCACTACTGAAACTGCCTTCTCTACGGACTTACCACCTCTCATCTCCAAAAACTGCAATACATCCAGAACTCACCCACACCTGGTCCAGAGAACACATCACCCCTGTCCTCAGCAGCTCCACTGGCTCCCGTTCCATACCCATGTGCATTAGGAACTCAAAACTCTATTACTCAAATATTTAAAGCAGGAGTAGCAACACACTGTAACTGCGAAACCACCTATCCATTTATGTTCTTCCGCTTCATCCGTTGCAGGGTCGCAGAGACGCCCAGACTACCCTATCCACACACACTTCCTCCAGCTTGTCTGGGGGGAAAAGACAATATGATGTGGTCTGATTTATTCACAAAAGGTTACTGAAAGAGGAATTCATGTTGGAACAAACACAAATCTACCTCAACTACAAAATCCTCCACATACACTGCAAAAAGTGAGGAAATATAAGTCAAAAATTGCTTACATTTTGCAACATTTGAGAACATTCTGACTGAGCCTTAAAACAAGTTTCCCCAACGGGACAAAGCAAAATGAAATGTCTCCCTTCTTCTTCTTCTTTCTTTCTCCCACTTCTTGTCCCATTTGGAAAATCTTGTTTTAAAACAGAATGGGCTCAAATTTAGATAAAATTCCCTCCATTCAAGCATTTATTACCTCATATTTAAACCTTTTTGTTTACCACAGCTTGCTTTGACCAAATGTGGCAGAAAAGGCTCTGACCAAAAAGGTCCTGGTCCTGACCAAGCCGAGCATCAACATCTGGAGACGGGTTCCCGGGCGCTGTTACTACAGCGACCACTACTCCTGACCTAAGCCTTTGCGGCATCAGGATCTGGGTCAAATGCAGAGGATGAATTGCCCCACGAGGGATTAATAAAGTGCACCTATACCTAGTTATTTTTTAATTTTATTTTTTGATATTTAACTAACATTCTTACAATACATCTCTCCTTGATAGTTAGCCCAGTTATAGTTTAATCCAAACCAACTAAAATATTGTCCAAACTCTTGTCAAATACAATGTCAAAAGACGAAAATATGTAAAAAAAAGACACAAATAAAATAACTTCATGCCCCAGACCAAGATGACCCTCTGCTTTAACCCAACTCTATCCTCAGGTTTTACAGAAACAGATCTCAGACTCAGAACATGAGGACAGAAGGAGCAGCAGCTGAACTCACGTCTCTGCGTTTTCCCAGCAGCCTCGTCAGCCGCTCCACCAGGTGAGTCACGAAGATCACATCCATGACGTCAGTGAAGTGCGCCGCCCTGCTGGTGAAGGCCACCAACTGCCGGCCCAGCGGCTGAGCGTTACTGGTGTTTACAGAGATCTGAAGAAGAGATGGAAACGGAGAGAGGACATTGAACACAATGTATAATGTGTCAGCCTGTAATGATTTATGGTTAGCACTATCGCTTCTCAGCAAGAAGGTTCTGAGGTCGAATCCTGGTCGGAACAGAACCATGTATGCTGTTCGAACCAGAGCAGTACCAGAGCATAAATGTCTCTCACATTAGATTTCAATTGTCTGTTTTTGTCGCAAATTCTTATGGATGTTCTTCAGTAACAGGATATTGGATGTACTTATTGTACAGTCTGACAGCGTTGTTGAATTCAAGCTTTGTGTGAAGGTCCGAATAGTTTTTGTGGTAGTTTTGAATCATGTCTGCTCCACCAAACCACTCCCCCCTCCCCTCCCTCTCCGCCAAACCAAACATCCAGCATTTTCTTTTCTTTGTCACAACAGGGAGAGTGAAGCAAACGTGAAATCGGCATTTTCTGTTCAGCCATTTTAGGTTTTAGAAAATCCGATAACTCCGGTGCACTCACGAGAAACAGGAAGTGGGTGAAGGCGGTAAACGCATCCCATTGGTTCGTTGGAGATGAACGAATCTCATTGGTTTATTTTTCTGGGTCTGCTTGTATTCATTTTTGTAGACTATAAGCATCTGGTCAATTCCATTACTATTTGAAAACACATGATAGCTTGATACTTTTAGGATTTAGGGACGTTTTCCCACAATATTTAAAAAAAATGCGTCTGGAAAAAAATCACTGACTGAGTCTCCAAATACTAAATAAAAGGCACATATATCAATCAATCAATCAAAGTTTATTTGTAGAGCGCCTTTCATACACATGGCAACACAAAGCGCTTCACAGTCCACATCACAAATCATCACATAAAACAAACACCAGAATCACAATTAAAACATTAAAATCACACAAAAGATTAAAACACAATTAAAACATTAAAATCACACAAAAGAATAAAACCATTAAAACTTTCAAAATTACACAAGAAATTTAAAAAAATAAATAAATGACAGCAGTGCATTAAAAATGGAGATAAAATCCTTCAGTTGTATGCACAGGCAAACAGAACAGTCTTTAACCTGGATTTGAACATTGACAGAGTAGACGCCTCCCTCACATTTTCAGGGAGATTGTTCCAGATCTTAGCTGCATGGATCTGAAACGCAGCCTCCCCATGTTTGGTTCTCACTCTGGGCACCAGCAGGAGGCCAGTCCCTGTGCTCCTCAGAGTCCGGGCTGGTTCATATGACACCAACATGTCACTATGTATTGTTTGTAATGTATTCTGGTGCAAGGCCATGGAGAGACTTGTACACAAGCAGAGCCGTTTTAAAATCTATTCTTTGAGCCACAGGAAGCCAGTGCAGAGACCTGAGGACCGGACTAATATGGTCATACTTCCTGGTTCCTGTCAGGACTCTAGCTGCTGCATTTTGGATGTACTGCAGCTGCTTACAGGTCTGTTTGGACAGACCTGTAAGCAGGCCATTGCAGTAGTCTAGCCTGCTGGAGACAAATGCATGGACAAGAATCTCCAAGTCTGCCCTGGACACTATATTTCTAACTTTGGCAATGTTCTTCAGATGGTAAAAAGCTGTTGATGTTATTGATTTTATGTGGCTATTGAAATTTAGGTCTGAGTCCAGTATTACCCCCAAATTTCTGACCTTGTCTGAGGGAAGTAGGGAGAGAGACTGAAGTTGACAGATGACGCCCTCTCTTTGTTTCTGGGGACCAAAGACAATGATTTCGGTTTTGTCTGTATTTAGCTGGAGGAAATTATTTTGCATCCAGTCACTGATCTGTTGGATACAGTGAAGGAGCAAATCCAGTGGTCCATGTTCTCCTGCAGTCAGTGAGACATAGATCTGAGTGTCGTCAGCGTAATTGTGGTAGGACACTTTGTTTCTTTGTATTAACTGACCTAACGGCAGCATGTAGAGATTAAATAGGAGAGGTCCCAGGATCGACCCCTGTGGTACACCACAGGTCAGGGCCACATCATCTGAGACGCAGTCTCCAATCTCCACAGAGTACTTCCTATCCTCCAGGTAAGACCTAAACCAGTCTAGGGCTGTGCCAGTGACACCAGCCCAGTCCTCCAGTCTCTGCATGAGGATCTCATGGTCGACAGTGTCGAACGCGGCACTAAGATCTAACATGACCAAAACTGTGACTTTACCTGCATCAGTGTGAAGTCGAATGTCGTTTGTTACCTTCACTAGAGCGGTCTCAGTGCTGTGGTGGGGTCTAAACCCAGACTGGAACATATCAAAAGAATTATTCATTGTTAAAAATTCAGTAAGTTGTTGGGAGGCCACTTTTTCAAGAATTTTTCCAATAAATGGCAGATTCGATATGGGGCGATAATTTTGAAGTCCCGCAGGATCCAGACTGCTCTTTTTTAGGAGAGGTCTTATGACTGCTGTTTTTAGGGCCATAGGAAATGTTCCTGACGACAGAGACATGTTTACTATTTGTGTCAGTGAAGGTAACAAACTGCTCAGGACGGACTTCAGAAATTTAGAGGGCAATATATCCAGGCTACATGTGGAGGAGCTCAGACTCATGATTATCTTTTTGACAGTTTCAGTATCCACAGGTGCAAAGTGAGTTAGCTCAGAAAGCTTCTCTGGCTGTTGCATTGTTATACGTGCTGTGGAGGTGATAGTGTTTTTGATTCCTTGTACTTTGTCATCGAAAAACTGTGCGAACTCATTACACCTAGATTTAGAGGAAAATTCTAGGGGCAACTTTACAGGGGGGTTCGTTAATCTACCAACTGTTGAAAACATAACACGAAAATTGTTACTGCAACCTCCAATAATGTCAGAAAAATACATTTCTCTTGTTCTACGTAAAACCCGGTTAAATTCACCCAACTCATCTTTAAAGATTTCATAATCGCCCTGGAAATTGGACTTTCGCCACTTCCGTTCGGCCCTCCGGCACTCTTGCTTCTGTGCCCTAACCGAGTCTGCCTTAGTCCATGGGGCCTTTTTCTTACTGGTAACTATTTTAACCGTCACAGGAGCAATGGCGTCCAGAACAGTCAGAACACTGGTGGTGACAGAGTTATACAATTCATCAACAGTAGAGCATGGAGTTTTCTCAAAATTTAGCATTCCCATGAACAGTTCACTTGTGTTTTCATGTATGTGTCTTCTTCTAACAGTTGTAAATTCAGCTGGTGGTTTGCTAGCAAAACACATGTCAAAAAATACACAGAAATGATCTGACAAAGCAACATCAACTACATTAACATTTGATACATTAACCCCCTTTGTAATTAGCAGGTCAAGAGTGTGCCCCCTGCTGTGGGTGGGGCCACTCACGTGCTGAATGAAACCAAAGGTCTCAAATACAGAAGCCAGCTCCTTTGCATTTCTGTCATCAACATTATCAACATGTACATTAAAATCACCTGTAATAACTAAACTATCAAAATCTGTGCACACGAATGAAAGTAGTTCAGTAAAATGGTCAATAAAATCGCAACATGACTGTGGTGGCCTGTACAGGACAATGAAAAGAGTAGAAGATTGCTTTTGTTCCATTTTAAAAGAAATATACTCAAACGATGAAAAATTTCCAAGGGGCATTCTATGGGAGACAAAGTGCTCTCTAAAAACTGCAGCTATGCCTCCCCCCCTTTTGTTTTCTCGTATTTCGGATTCGAATTTAAAATTGGGTGGTGTTGCTTCTATTAGAACTGCATTTCCTGTATTTTGGTCCAGCCATGTTTCAGCCATAAGCATGAAATCAAGATCATAAGAAGTGATAAAATTATTAATTAAAAATGATTTGTTACATAGAGATCTGACATTAAGCATAGCAAGTTTAAAAATAACGTCAGAGTCGATTAATGTGGTTGATTGATTTCTACAGGGAACAGAAATTAGATTTGCAGAGTTGGACCGTCTAACTGCTGTCCTGTTTTGATTTCGTTTTTTAGAATTTAAAAACATTTTTGAGCTGGTGCGAGGAACACACACAGTCTCAATTGGCCTAAAATGTGAAAACCCTTGTTGTTCTTTAGCTCCCAGAGTCAGAAGGGAGTCAGCACAGTTCAGTGTTTGGACTGGTAATGCACTGCCAGACGGACAGGGAGCAGTGTTTGCACCGTTGCACATATAGACACATACGCCACAGAGCAGAGCACAGTATGTCTCTATGTGTTTCCGTTTGCCCCCAGTTCACCAAAGACACACAAAACTACAACATCTCCTTGTTTCTGACGACTGTTTTATTCCGTAAATTTGCTCAGGAGTCAACAGCGCTGCTGGGGGGGAGCCGAGCATTCACCGGAGATGTTTGAGTCTGGTGAACCACGCAGTTATTAAATCCTGCCTTTTAGCAGTTTGTATCACAGCTCGGAGAATCTGTGAAAGACAGCAGACGGAGCGCGACTGTAAATCGTCAAACAGAGCAGCAACCTCACAACTCCGCTGGGTGAACGCAAAGCAAAGCGAAAGTAAAAATAGTTTGGCCGCTGCGGCGTGATCTGCTCTATACAAAGGAGACAGTGGAAATGAGAGATTTTTTATGCAAGAAATACATTATTATCACACATGATCAGGGTTATCATCATGTAATGGAAGCTGTAAAAGTGATGTATGTAATTAAGTAACATCAGCAGCTTTTTACCACCAAATTTTTTTTTTTAAAGTGTCAAAGTGTCGAAATAATAATACGTCAAGCTTTTATAGCGCTTTTTTGGACACTCAAAGACGCTTCACATGGGAAAAGTGATTTACGGAAAAGCTTGTTTGAAAATATGGGTTTTGAGACTGATTTCAAGTTTGGTAGTGAGTCAGAGTTTCTAATGGGCAGTGGGAGTGAGTTCCAGAGGGTTGGGTCGGCAATGGCAAAGACTCGGTCCGCCAAGGTCCGGCGATGTAGTGCGGGTGATGGGAGTGAGGAGGTTAGTGCGGGTGATGGGAGTGAGGAGGTTAGTGCGGGTGATGGGAGTGAGGAGGTTAGTGCGGGTGATGGGAGTGAGGAGGTTAGTGCGGGTGATGGGAGTGAGGAGGTTAGTGCGGGTGATGGGAGTGAGGAGGTTGGAATCGGCTGAGCGAAGGCGGTGGGTGGGTTGGTGCTGTTGAAGGAGCTCAGTAAGGGGGCGGGGCCAGGTTATGGAGGGACTTGTAGATGAGGAGAAGGAGCTTGTAATGGATGCAGTATTGAACGGGGAGCCAGTGGAGCTGCTGCAGGACAGGGGTGATGTGTTCTCTGGACCGGGTGTGGGTGAGGAGAAGGCGGGCTGCGGAGTTCTGGATGTAGTACAGTTTTTGGAGATGAGAGGTGGGGAGTCCGTAGAGGAGGCTGTTGCAGTAGTCCAGTCTGGAGGTGTAATGTTGCTGTAATGTTTAAACAATTCTGTTTGTACGGACTACCCTTGAACGCCCCAAATACTCTGCTAACATACGTGCGAGCCGGTTGTTTTGGTGGAGAGGCCGTTGTAAACTGTGAAAATGCAGCTTAACAGTTTTATAATAACTTACAATGACACAACAATGGCACCTTCAAAATCACTAAAATGCACAAACGAGGGCCATAGCAAATAAATCAGTCGTATTAAACACATGCATTATTTACATGAAATATCACATTTTTTAAAATAATGGTTACCCAAAATACAAATGTTTTAACAAAGTCTGTTGTTCAACGCTGTAGTACAACGCTCGGTCCAGCTGGTGGCGCTAAGACTAACTTCAGTGACTACCGTGTTTGGCAAGTTAAGTTTCCTGTTTACATTCTGCTACTGTAGCTAACAGCTACTGTAGCTAACAGCTACTGTAGCTAACAGATAGAGCATGAAACACGGTGTTCTGGATGTAGTACAGTTTTTGGAGATGAGAGGTGGGGAGTCCGTAGAGGAGGCTGTTGCAGTAGTCCAGTCTGGAGGTGATGAATACGTGAGAGAGGATTCCGGCTGTTGACTAGGTAAGGGAGGGGCGGAGGCGGGCAATGTTGCGAGGTGGAAGAAGGAGGTATTGTTTATGTGTTTGATGTGTGTTTGGTATGAGTGTGGAGTCCATTAAAATGCCGAGGAGGCAATGAGGAGAGTAAAAAGTGTCTAAAGTATACTTGAAGATTTTTTTATTTACTACTACTGTTACAACTACTGATGACTACTGCTGTGATTTAGGGCTATACAAGAATACATTATATTGTATTGTATTTAAAACAATCAGATGACACCATCAGCTCAAACTGAACGAAAACAACATGTAACTCTGCAGCTTTTATTAACGCTGCACTAATTGATTTTGAGACACTTTCTCTCTCTCTCTGCTCGCCCTCCCCGCACCCACGAAGCTTTCGCCCCCCCCCTTAGCCTGTGCTCCGTGCTGTTGTTAGCTTCGGAGCTGGCATCTCACAATATGGAACAATATGGAACAATATGGAACAATATGGCACTTTTGCACGTGGATGGCGTGACCATAGAATGACAGAACTGGGAAGCGCGGAGAGGATGAGACTTTCTTTTGGATGTTTTGCTGAGAAAGCAATAACGAAGACACGGAAAGTTTCAGGTTAGCTCCGCCGCTTGTTGTGCTAACTCAACCGTCTGTGCTAACCAGAGACCTGTGGCTTTTCTCAAGAAAGTGGGGGCCAGTGGTCCGCTGTGATTGGTCACAATCTGGACACGAAACACATTCTCTTCCTTGTTTTATCAAAACTCGATCTAACTCGACCATAAAACAATCCCAAGTTCAGACACTTTTCAGCTATGTCTCAAGTAAGTACGTAAGGAAGTAATGTTTATTTACATAGCGCCATTCACAGAGCAGAGTCACAAAGTGCTAGATATGGGAGCTAGGTCGCCGTACACGAAGACTTATTGTACATGTTTTAAGTGGTAGGGGAAACCGGAGCACCGGGAGGAAACCTACACAGACATGGGGAGAACATGCAAACTCCACTCAGAAAGTCACTGTTCTGACCGGGATTCAAACCCAGGACCCTGACAACCCCTCCGCTGTCAGACTGTACAATCAGTCACTTTTAAGATGCGGTCAGGGATTTTTTCCAGACGCATTTTTTTAAAACATTGTGGGAAAATGTCCCTAAACCCAAAAAGTATCACGTTATCATGTGTTTCCAAATTGTAATGGAATCAACTAGATGCCTACAATCTCCAGAAATTAATAAAAAAACAATAAAAATCTCCAGAAATTAATAAAAAAAACAATAAAAATCTCCAGAAATTAATAAAAAAAACAATAAAAATAAACCAATGGGATGTGTTTACCCCCTTCACCCTCTTCCAGTTTTTTGCGAGTGTGTGCACCTGAGTTGGGATTTTCTAAACATGACTGAAAAAATCCCGTTTGCCTCCCTGTGGACTCTTTGTAATTTGTGATAATTATCCCGTGCATTCACACTGGATAAGCAATGTCTGTAATTTTCACTGACATCTCACTAACGGCCGCACGTGCGCAGGTCTCTCATGGATCTATAAAGACTGGTGTCTGACCACAGCAGCCACAGGGACCATGAGGACAAACACCATAAACAATACTTTCTGTAATGTTTAAACAATTCTGTTTGTACGGACTACCCTTGAACGCCCCAAATACTCTGCTAACATACGTGCGAGCCGGTTGTTTTGGTGGAGAGGCCGTTGTAAACTGTGAAAATGCAGCTTAACAGTTTTATAATAACTTACAATGACACAACAATGGCACCTTCAAAATCACTAAAATGCACAAACGAGGGCCATAGCAAATAAATCAGTCGTATTAAACACATGCATTATTTACATGAAATATCACATTTTTTAAAATAATGGTTACCCAAAATACAAATGTTTTAACAAAGTCTGTTGTTCAACGCTGTAGTACAACGCTCGGTCCAGCTGGTGGCGCTAAGACTAACTTCAGTGACTACCGTGTTTGGCAAGTTAAGTTTCCTGTTTACATTCTGCTACTGTAGCTAACAGCTACTGTAGCTAACAGCTACTGTAGCTAACAGATAGAGCATGAAACACGGTGTTTGTATCAAGGCAATGAGAGTAATGTCTGTGATTTCCCCACAGTGCAGCAGCTCAGTGCAACACGTGTGTGTGTGCGCCGTGTCCGCGGCGCTCACGCTCGTTACGCCCTTTGGAGTAACGAGCGTGAGCGCTGAGAAGTGAATGAAGGCGAATGAGAGCGATGGGCAGAGCGACCGGAGCCCACCTGCCTGTGTGTGTGTGCGTGTGCGTGTGCGCGTGCGTGTGCCTGTGTGTGTGTGCGTGTGCGTGTGCGCGTGCGCGCGTGTGTGTGTGTGTGCGTGTGTTTGTTCTGGCGATTAAATAAAGTCTGATTCTTGAACGTTTGAAGTGTTTTTGCAACAGCACCAACTGTGAGAGTGAGCATCAGGACAGAGGGAGACTGTTAGCATTAGGTTAGCTTTCAAAATAACTGCTCAACACCCACGGTTAGCATGTTAGCACTGTGGCTCTGCGCTGGTGAAAAAAAACCGATATTCATTCAAAAGAAATCGCCCTAAACGTTAAATTTGAGTTAATAATTAAAATCAATTTATCGCCCAGCCCCATTAATTACTACCACTTATCTGGAAGAGCAGCACAATAAAAAGCCCAAACATTAAAATCAGTTTCCCTTCTTTAATTCGGGGCCAGCTCCGGTGAATCTGCTCAGAGCTTGACCGGAGCAATATTTCACAAACATTAACCTTCAGATGGACAACGCTCCGTCTTGATGAGCAATAAAACATGTATTACGCAAACGATTCTGAAAGAATAGACTGTCTACTTTCATCAGCGAAAGGATTTTTGGTTCTATCTTGTTTCGTTCCCTGTAATCCCCGGTCGAGTAGAGGGAAGTTTTACTGAAATCACCATCTCAGACAAAAAGAGGCGCAACAAGTGCATCCTGTTTTAAAAACATTTAGTGGCAGCGCTGCTGCCCCCTGCTGGCTCCATAAAATATGCTTTAAAGCTAATCCCCACATATTAGATATAATAGACATCTGGGAACATGAAAATAGTGAAAAACACGTTAGACGTATTTGTGCGTCAGACTGACCTGCACCAGGACTGTAAACTCAACCTGCTATTGTCACATTTTACTGTTTTTTAAAAACTTTTATAACACACTTCCTGTCTTTTTGCATATCCCGGGTGATTCTATTATTGCTAAATGTGACGTGTAATTTTCTCCATGTTGAGTTCAGTAAAGTTTATCTTGTGTTGTTGTATGTTCTGGTTCTGACCTGTGTGAGCTGGTGGAGGACCCGGGTGAGCTCGCTGGCGTAGGGGCACTGGGTGTAGTCCTCCTCGGCCCAGCGTCCCGTGCGGTCACACCTCCTCCACGCCTTTTTCTCCTTCCTTTCTCCCCTCCAGTGGGGCGAGCGAGGGGTGTGGCCTGAAGGGTGAGGGGCGGAGCCAAACGCAGCAGGGGCACAGGGCAGGAAGGCCAGGATTCCCGCCAGAGTCTTCGGCCACCTGGAGCATGGGGAACGAAAGCATTTTATTCAGTTATAGACGATTTGATAGTATTGAACATCGTACTCTTTCACATTTCAATCATATATTCCACTGATTGTATTTTTCTGAGTTTGAATCACACATCTATGATGAATCTGCAACATCAGCCCTGTAAGAGATTCTGCTTCACTTTTATCGCTGCACCTTTGAAAGTTTGCTTGTTGGTTCTGTGACTGTGTAGTTTGGTGACATCTCAGACAAAGAAAGAGACCAGAGCGAGACCAGAGAGAGACCAGAGAGAGACCAGAGAGAGACCAGCGAGAGACCAGAGCGAGACCAGCGAGAGACCAGAGAGAGACCAGAGAGAGACCAGAGAGACCAGAGAGAGACCAGAGAGACCAGAGAGAGGCCAGAGAGAGACCAGACAGAGACCAGACAGAGACCAGAGAGAGACCAGAGAGAGACCAGAGAGAGACCAGAGAGAGACCAGAGCGAGACCAGAGCGAGACCAGAGAGAGACCAGAGAGAGACCAGAGAGAGACCAGAGAGAGGAATGTGATCTGTCTGTTCTGGAGGTTCTTTATAAATCCAGACTTTTAAACCAAGCTTTTAGAATATCAATGACTCTTCTGGCTCCTTGCATGGCCATGTTCCAGCTTCTTCCTTCTGGCAGAAGATATCATTTTCTGAGATGCAGGACATGCTAAAATGCTAACATCTTCTTTCCACAAGCATTCGTTTGAACAGAGCACTTCAATGATCTTGCACTGGTATTGTGTTTTAGTCGATCGATTTAGTCCTGTGTCCTCTGTCCTGTGTCAGTCTCAGTCGTTCCTGTGTCAGTCTCAGTCGTTCCTGTGTCAGTCTCAGTCCGTCCTGTGTCAGTCTCAGTCGGTCCTGTGTCAGTCTCAGTCCGTCCTGTGTCAGTCTCAGTCCGTCCTGTGTCAGTCTCAGTCCGTCCTGTGTCAGTCTCAGTCCGTCCTGTGTCAGTCTCAGTCGGTCCTGTGTCAGTCTCAGTCCGTCCTGTGTCAGTCTCAGTCGGTCCTGTGTCAGTCTCAGTCCGTCCTGTGTCAGTCTCAGTCCGTCCTGTGTCAGTCTCAGTCCGTCCTGTGTCAGTCTCAGTCCGTCCTGTGTCAGTCTCAGTCCGTCCTGTGTCAGTCTCAGTCCGTCCTGTGTCAGTCTCATTCGGCCTGTGTCAGTCTCAGTCCGTCCTGTGTCAGTCTCAGTCCGTCCTGTGTCAGTCTCAGTCAGCCCTGTGTCAGTCTCAGTCGGTCCTGAGCTAGACCGGAGCAATATTTCACAAACATTAACCTTCAGATGATCACGCTCCGTCTTGATGAGCAATAAAAAATGTATTAAGCATGAAAAGGGAGACCAAAAAAAAAGGTTTGCTGTTAAAACGAAAACTTATGAGTCATTGCTTCCATAAAGCAGGAATTGAGAAATCTTTTCCGAGGCTAAAAATAGTGCTTTTCTCAATAATGTCATCAGCAAAGCCTTAACCCGCTCGACCGGCCAACCCCGACACGGCCGCCGCACTTTTACAAGCAAATTGGACACTTTCATTTTCTGCCCGGTGGATTTTAGTGTTTCAGTAAAATAAGATCGGCCCAGGAGTGAAAGGTCGCCGTCCAAAGAGCTCGAAAAGAAACATGAGGAGAAAGTTATGCACATTTTAATCAATTATTCATTTGTTTTGCTTGATTTGTGGACAAGGAAATTATAAGGGATGTAAGAGACAAGCTTTAAATCATCGTAGAGTCTAAGCGGGCCGCTAGCTCTCCTCCGCTCACAGAACGAGCAGCAAACAGCCTGCGTCGTCTAGCCTCTACAGCACTGCTAAACACTAGGGCTTTGACTTCCAAATTCAAATACAATTTAAAAATATTGATATATTCGAGCGAATATTAGACAGCCTTTAATATTCAAAATGTATTATTAGCCCCGTGTTGTTAGCCGACACGGTAGCAAAGCGCGCTTCGATGACGTCGTTGTTTACGTTACTGTTGCTCACCTGCCAATCACCTTATCAAATACTCCGACTGGCCTGGTATGTTTCATACCGGGTATAATAGTTTTTCAATTGAGAAATGCCAGACCGACTTGCCCGCTGAAATTCCATGGAGGCGGGGCTAAAGGTTGGCTGGAGCCAGGCTAGAGTTCTTGAGCTTCATTCATTTGATCCTTACCAGTGACATGTTGTTATAGAAATATTTTTGTTAAAAAATCTGAATTAACACCAAATAGTTATGAGTGTAAGTAATTAACTATCAGTGAACTCTGGATTCAGATACAGGCCATAATGCTCTGTTGGCTCAGGTCAGTGATAGATGGAGACGAGCTGCATCATGTCTTTGACCTGGGTCATAGAACAATATGTTCAGTTCAAAAGCAGATTGTTACATATATCAGAGTTGTATCAGCGTTAGGACGCGTAATGTATTTAATGTACAGTCATTTCCCCAATCGGGGCAGTTGGTTTCAGACGGCTTCAGGTGGTATTGGTATCGGTTCTGTTATTCATTGTAATTGTGCACATTTACTAATGAATAAACTCACACTTTGTTTGGAATTACAGCTCTGAGTTGTTTACATTATTTTACTCTCGGTATGTGCAGAAATTCTACAACAATGTCTTTGTACTATGTGTGTGTTGTGTTGACCGGTGTGTGTGTGTGCGGTGTGTGTGAGGGAGAACTTTGGATCCTACTGTGGAAACACGTTAGGATCTACATTGACAAAGAAACCCCGCCAAGCAGCGGAGGCGGCGGTTGTCACGGTAACAGTCACAATCACGACTGAGGAGCCGCGCCGCAGAAAAGCAGTGAAAGGGAAGAAGCGCCGCTCATGACACTGAAACACTGAGACTGACCCTGAATAAACTTTTAGCATCAAGCTTTTGTTTTCGACTTTTTTTTTCAAACCTGTGAAAAATAAAGATGAAATAAAACCAGCCGTTCACACAGTTGTAGCACATCTGGAGCTGTGCTAAAACTGAGGGATTTTATATTTGTATCTTTCTTTTTAATGTTCTGTGATTATTTATGATTTTAATGCTATTTTGTCTTGTTCAGCGCTTTGAATTGCCTTGTGTATGAATTGTACTATACAAATAAACTTGCCTTGCCTTACCATAATTTTCAATCAATCTTTATTTATAGGGCGCTTTTCCTGCACAGGGCAACACAAAGCGCCTCACAGTCCACACCACACAATGCACAAATCATCACCATTAAAATACAATTAAAAACACATATGTAATTAAAAAGCATTAAAATCACATAAGTAATTTAAAAACATAAGAATCACACAAGTAATTAAAAACAATAAAATAGTTAAAAACACAAAAAGTTACAACAATAAATAACAAGGTGTGTTAAAAAGATAAAATTCTCTAGTTGTATGCACAGGAAAAAAGAAAAGTCTTTAACATGGATTTGAACATTGACCGAGAGGCAGCCAGTCTCACATCCTCAGGAAGACTGTTCCAGACTTTAGCAGCATAAATCTGAAAAGCAGCCTCCCCCTGTCTAGTCCTGACTCTGGGCACTAACAGGAGTCCCGTCCTGTGCTCCTCAGAGTCCGGGCTGGTTCATATGGGACTAGCATATCATGGATGTACTTTGGTGCAAGGCCATGGAGAGACTAATTTTGGCAATATTTTTCAGATGATAAAAAGCTGCTGATGTTACCGATCCAATGTGGCTATTGAAGTTTAAGTCAGAGTCCATTATTACTCCCAGATTTCTGACCTTATTTAAAGGCCCTAGGGAGAGAGACTGTAGGTGACAAATGACGGTCTCTCTTTGTTTCTCGGGACCAAAGACAATCATTTCGGTTTTGTCTGCATTTAGCTGGAGAAAATTGCATTGCATCCACTCACTGATCCGCTGGATACAGCGAAGGAGTGAGTCCACCGGCCCATGCTCTCCTGCAGTCAGTGAGACATAGATCTGAGTGTCATCAGCGTAATTGTGGTAGGACACTTTCATACTTTGAATTAACTGACCTAATGGCAGCATGTAAATATTGAACAAGAGAGGTCCCAGAATCGACCCCTGTGGCACTCCGCAGGTCAGGGCCATATTATCTGAGACATAGTCTCATATACAGTATCTCTAGTAATATACATAGTCGTATATACAGTATCTCATCTCATCTCATCTCATCTCATTTACATCCCTTTATTTTCCATTTCTGGGTCAGGGGGGTGGCAATCAGAACTGCCACCCAATTCACATAGCACCAGTCCCTTGCTGATCTTCCTGCAGGTGGTGGGTCCACGGAACATCATTTGGCAATTTTTTTTGTTTAGCTTTCCACATAATAATCAAAAATTTTAAGTCGACGAGATCCTTAAATTTAAGAAGCTTATTTTCAATAAATAAAGGATTAGTGTGCTCTCTATAACCTTTCTTACTGATGATTCTAATTGCTCTTTTTTGCAGCAGGAACAAGGGCTTGGTGGTACAAGTATATGTGTTACCCCAGACCTCAGCACAATAACTGAGATATGGGAGAATCATTGAGGAATAAAGCATCCTCAACAAGCTACAATCAAACAAATCTCTAACTTTATATAAAATGCCAATACTTTTGCTAACCTTTCTTTTTACATACTCAATATGAGCTTTCCACTTTAATTTTTCGTCTAAAACAACACCTAGAAACTTAACTTCCTCGACTCCATCAATTGTAATTTTCACATTATCAATTTTGCTATGTTTACTGAAAATCATATAGTTTGTTTTATCCCAATTAAAAGATAACTTATTTTCGTTAAACCAATTTCTCACTTTTAACATTTCTTCTTCAATTCTTTCCGATAGCTCCGGCAAATCACTTCCTGATTGAAATATACTGGTGTCATCAGCGAACAACAAAAAATGTAACCTGTTTGTTGAGTCACAAATGTCATTAATAAACAAAATAAAAAGCAATGGCCCTAAAACAGACCCTTGCGGAACACCACATTTGACCTCTCTACATTCAGAATCTAACCCGTTGATATGTACATACTGCTTACGGTTTGTAATATAACTTTGAAGCCACTGATGTGTTATACCCCTAATTCCATAGTTGGATGATTTTGACAGTAACAAATCATGATTTATGGTGTCAAATGCTTTGCGTAGGTCAATAAACACACCTACAGTGTACTCTTTTCTTTCAATTGCAGCTGTAATATTTTCCACCAGTGCAGAGAGCGCTAGGCTTGTGGATCTTTGTGATCGGAATCCATACTGTTTGTCAGAGAGTAATTTATGTTTATCTAAAAAGTTTGTTAATTTTTGTGCAAACCATTTCTCAAGGACTTTAGAAAACTGTGAGAGCAGCGACACTGGTCTGTAATTGTTAAATGCTTGTTAAGTGCTTGTCTCCATCTTTAAACAGCGGAATAACTTTAGCAACTTTCATTTGTTCAGGAAAAACACCAGTTTGTATGGACAGATTACAAATGAAAGTCAGTGGTTTAACAATGCAGTCAATAGTTCTTTTAATAATTGTCATGTCTAGTCCATCACTGTCTGTGGAGGTTTTATTTTTACATTTATTTACAATAGATAAGATGTCATATTCACTGATCTCTTCGACAAACAGAGACTGAATGATTCTGCTTCCCAATTTGCACGTTTTATTTCCGTTAGTTGCATTAAAAGTGTTTGCAATATTGGCTCCAATATTTGTAAAAAACAAATTAAATGTATTGGCAATACTTTTGCTGTTGTTATGCACAACATCCTTCTCAATGAAATGATCTGGTATCTTTTCTTGTCTAGAGTTTGGTCTTATTACTTTATTCAGTACATTCCATGTTGCTTTCATGTTTCCATGATTTTCTCTCAGTTTTCTATTATAATAGTCCTTCTCTGCTCTTCTTATAATGCCCGTTAATTTATTTTTATATGTTTTGTATTTGATCTCACTATCTGAGGTCCGTTTTTTTTAATAGTTTTTATACAGTTTGTTTTTCTTTTGGCATGCTCTTATTATTCCTTTAGTAAACCAAGGTTTTTCCCTTTTAAAGATTTTTTTAGAAAGCTTCATTCATATAATGCAGCAAAGAAATCAGAAGTAACTTTGCATTTGGATGGATTTAAAAAATCAACATTGAAATCACCACCTATTAAAAGGGTCTTCTGATTATTCTGGATATCGAGTAAACTTTCAAAACAATTCCGAAAAGCATCCACATTTGAGCCATGTGCTCTGTAAATGCACGCAGCAATCACATTCCTGCCTTTCTCCATCTCAATCTCAACAGCCACACTTTCCAT